ATGTGTACAAATATACCTATTAAAAACTCTTAGAGGACATGTTTACCATACTCTAGATGGTCTGGTTTTTAAAAAGGGTACTGTACCAGATGGTTAAGATTAATAAACTAAGTGAACACAAGCATAAAGTGTTCAGTTTCCCAAATTGCACAGTTTCAGGCTGAAGCAGGTGATGAACGAACATCTCTTCGTGCCATGCCGGCCTTAGTACTAACTCTTCCAATGGGCAAAGGAAGACGACGATCAAGCCAGCTTTCACCTGCCATCCTTTCCTTGGCTCTCTCCCTGGCTTCGATACTCATCTAAAAAGATCCATTAACTAACTCCCAGAGTTTTCTCAAAGAAAAATGATCTCTTTCTAGAACATCTAAAATTGGTTTCAGGCCCCTAGAGAGATCTTAAGAAGTAGGCTGGTCACACAGGGTTGTTTTTCAAGGGAATTTAAGTGGGCTGCAGTTGACTCAGACAGATCTCTTGGTATGAGTCTGCACAGATTGACCTTTGTGAAGAATCTCTAGATCACCCGTAATAAGGATAAATTCATATATACGAGTGACAAAGGCGGGGTGGATTATAAGGGTTTATCTACTCAGTGCCAGACTCAATTATTGAAACAATGTTTTACAACTTGGCTTTTTGTGTGGTAGCATCACACAGTCTAGGGCACAGAGTCTACATAATATCATCAGCCATGCAGCTTCTCTCTTGAGATCTTTTAAGAGTTTTACTCCACTGGTCACTGCCACCTTTTAGTAGTGCTATCTTGTATTCTGCTTCATACTCTACATGGTCAGTTACAAGGTATAAAAGCCAATTTTGCATGAAAGCTGTTGCCCCCTGGTGAGGTGGTGGAAGGTTCTGGTAGGTCATCTGCCACTTACAAGAAATATGTCTGCAGCTGATGTTTTGCAATGTTCTTGTGTATTACTATGTCTTCAACCAGAATGGACTCTACTTAAACAGAGAGGATCTGGAGTCAGTGGTGTTTCAGCCTCTGGTCATGTCAAAGCTCTCTGACATTCACATTTAAAATATGGCCCCTATGTCCTCTGCCTTTCCTTATGCTATCTAGTAAATGGGGCCACCTTGTCATTTATGGTCTTAGAATGTGTTTCACCATCCTCTTAGTTGCATCAGGATCTAATACTTTAGATGTTAAGCAGAACGTAAGGACTCAAATGCCAAGGTACCTTTTCATTCAAAGGTTTCAGGGGAAAAAGAACCATAATGCCTAAGATCTTAAAGGTCAGTAAGAAGAAATAAACACACCAGGAGAAAAGGTGACAAGTGACATGCAAATGTATATATTGCTCTCTCATTTCTATCCCCACCCCATAATATATGATTTAATGTTATTTTGGAGGGGGGCATAAAATTACAAGTAGATTATGTAATGATGGAGGGAGGGGTCTCTGCTATATAATGTCTTGGTCAAAACTAACAAACTATTGAAACAAGCTTAATGCTATACACAAAGTAACTCCCTGGTAGTGTTAAAATTTTCCAAGTTAGCATCTGCATAGACTGGTCTGTCTCCTTTCAAGTTAAGTTACTTGCCCCAAGGCAACTTCCAAAGTGTTTTGTTCTCAGGGAGTGCTTTTAGAATGGGTTCCTCTTAGTCACAATTCCCTTTCTGAAATGATTCCTTACGGACTGGTATTCATAATGTTTTGAACTAAAATGCTGGTATGTGGAGCCCAGAGTAGCACTAAAGCTGTGCAACGGAAGAACTTTCTGCGTTGTATTCACATACAGGTACTGGAACCCTTTCTAGCACTACCCTCCTCTTGGAAGAATATTATTCCCTCAATTACCAGAATAGCAGATTTCCTCACTTCCCGCAAGCCCTCTGTCCCCAAATGCCGTTCAAATGAGGTTTCTCTAGTGACTGTGTTTGCTTCAGTACCCTGAGCTGACCCCTCTCACAGCAGCCCATAAGACTCAATCTTTAACTTGCTCTAATATTTTACTTTTTTTGCAGTTCATACAAAATATATATAGTTTGTTTAATTTATTATATTTACTTGGTGTATCTTCACTAAAATATAAGTCCAGTGAAGAAGAGGGAACTTTATTTGTTCTCTGGGGTATTCCAAACACTTACCACAGTGCTTGGCACATAGCAAGAATTCACTGCATATTTACTGAATTAATGAACATGTCTCACAGGAAAGGTGGTTGAAGGGTAAAAGCCAAACTACATTCCAACAGAGTTTTAAAAACATTATGAAAAGTTACAGAAATGTGTATTTTCCTGCTGGAGAGAAATGTGGTGAATAAAACTGCTTGATGCATATGAATTGCTCATGAATTCTGGAAAAGGAAAAATGGGCATTTTTGTTCCCTAATAGATTTTTGTTTCCATTTCCCTTGTTCACAATGAATTTTCATCACAAATGTCAAACTAGAAACAAAAGTTAGTGCACAGCTTTTATGCTTTCCTGGGGTAGAGGCCACAGCTCAGATTGCCAGACAAATAAGAATGTCATCCAATGTTAATTTTGTTGTCGTTATTTATGCACTCTCCTTTTTACCACCAAGTGCTATCATTAATTAACACATCATTCTCCCTAGGAAATACTGACTGGTATACAGTGAATTTTCCAAAACTCCTATTTCCTGCAAATTTACTGTTTGAAAGGGTTTTTAAAAATGTTATATCATCAAATAACAGAACTAGAGGGCCAGGTTCATCAACAATTAAATGTTTCAGCCTCTTTTCAGATGTTAAGGTACAATAAAATGAAGATCAATACAGAAATTCATCTTGAGTACATCTTGATTCATCGTCATTCCCGTTTTAGGGGGAAAATGATACATATGATACATACATATGTTTATATATACTCATATCTTTGTGTGTCTTTACTGTGAATATCATGACAGTCATTGTGATTTAATGGAAAAAACACTGACTCTGGAGCCAAATGGGCTTCAAATTGAGTTTGAACAACACCAATTTATGTGCCTTTCACTCTCAAAACTTTTACTTTGGATGATAAACTCTAAGTTATTCTAAATAATCTCTGTACAATCTCTGATATAGTTATTGGCCATCTGTAGGTCCTCAGTAAATGCAATCATTATTGAACAAATGTAAATGCCAGTCAACACTCTCAGCATCATCAGGAAAGCACCGCCCTCACTTCCAAAAGAATTGTAACAGTTATTAACAAAGAGAAGAAAAAGGTGGAGTGACGTCTATAAATCAACAAACTATTCAAAATATCTGGAAGACACCCCTGGCCACTCTTTGAGAGGAATGAAGAAAAAAGGCACCGATATCAAGGTGAACATTAAACCCAGATTCTATTCTTGGCAGTTTATCACTGAGAACCTTTCTGAATTATGCCTCCATAGGGAAAAAAATTTTCAAATTTATCAGAAAAAATAAGTTCATACCCCATGAAATTACTGCAGTATGCCTTGCAAGGAAAGGAGAGATCTTTTTCAGAAGGAAACAAGCACATCAGCAAATAGCAACAATAAAGGTCACTGTTCTTATAGTGCCTCCTATGCACTAAGCACTGGGACTGACATTTTACATACCTGATATGTAGCTTTTCAGCCTTCAATACAGGCAGCATAATTAGACATATTTTATTGAAGACTTAAGTACCTTAGAGAAATTATATAGCTTGTCCAAGGACACACAGCTAATAGTGATGGTGATGCAATTTTAATCCAGATCTATCCAAGTTCAAGAGGGGCAGAGATCCTGAGTTTTATGCTGTTTCCAATTCCACGTATGACCTCAAAACTAGTGTTTTGAAAGACTGGACAAATAATCAACACAAAGAAGGAAAATTCTGAGACAATATCTTAATCTGTAAAGGATCATCAACTGCACTTACCATCTCTGTTTTTAAGGCAATAAATAATAAGAATCTAAGGGGTCATCTTAGTAAAAAAAATGAGCAATCAGCAGGTAAAGAGTACGCTGAATCTACACTGATATCAATGGTGAGGCACAGGAGGTAAATGACTAAGAATCTGACAAGAGAAACCTGCCCCTCTAACTACCCCACCAACCAACACACACATCCTTTCAGGTTTAAGAGCACCTACTAAGCTTGTAACCCAGTACTTTTTCCACAGCCTCAGCTGAGTTATTTCTACAAGAAGCTATTTTTGCCTCATCTTATTTTTAGCTGGGAACATTATTCTCAAGTCTTAGAAACTATAGGAAAGGTCTATCTAAAATAGCTGCAGATTTAACAAATATAGTTCAGGGCAGCTGTCCAGCAGGAGTTACTGTCAGTCCATCCCAAACAGACTTCTGAACAACCAGCCCTCAATGACTTCTCTCATTATCAGACTGGGCCCATCAGGAGCCAACAAAGCAAAGGAGAAAACACAGTGGAAGCCTTGCCCATGGGCTATTAGCCAGAAAAAATATAACCAATATCAAGTTATAAAAATATAGCTACTAATCTACGGTAACCTTTTGTCCAACGTTCTCTGGCTCCTAGGAGGCTCTGGAATAGAAATGCCAGAGGGTGGCAGTTAGATCCAGACACAGAACTAAATCAGAAAAGGACCCTCTCACTCATTAGCAATGTAACCTGAAGGACTGATTAACTCTCTCAGCAGTAATGTCCTCACTTGCAAAATAAAGTTACTATGAATAGTTTCTTAGATTGTTAAAAATATTGGATATAACATGTCAGGTAATAACTAATGGTTATTGAGCATTTATTATGTGCCAGGTGATGAATGAAGTGCTGTTAGTAGATGTATAATCTAGACACTAGAATTCAGTCACTTTCCAAAATTCACATAATTAGAAAGTCACAGAAATAGGTCTGGAGCCAAGAGAATCAATACCAAAGCCCATGCTCTTAACCCAGTGTGCAATGCTGCCTAACATGGAACTGGGTACTGAGTACAGACTCAACAAACATAAGTTACAGCTACTGGTGTGATTGTTAACATCCCTACGTCAGATAAAATGAGGCCAAGTGGAAAACTGAATACTCATACTACCGAATGCACAGTACCTGGGACATGGCTGCAAGAGTCCTCCTTCGACAATGCAGGCCTGTTTCTCGAGAAGTTCAGGGCACTCCTTTCCACCTCCAATAGCAATGTGTTTCACACTCCGGCTCCTGCTCCTAAATCCAGGTGAGAGACTTCCTGAATGACACGTCTTGGAGCAGGGACTCCAGGAGGACCACTCGGTGGTCTCACAGTCTTTCGGCATGACGCAGGACTGGACAGTCAATGGGAAGGAGTCTTTCATGCAAAGGCTAAAGGAACACAAGCAGAAACCAGTCGGCCATAGATTAAACCAATGTAACCAACATTATGAAATGCCTACAATTTTTTAAAAAATGAAGTATAGTTTAAGTGTTCAAATTTGAGGATTTAAAAAATCTTAGAGACGTGATAAAATGTCTCTTTAAAATGTGCACTTTAAAAATGGACGCTCTATTTCATTTGAAACCGTGAGCTTATTTCACTCTAGCAAGACACATATGTAAGGTGACTAAACCTTTTACTTATAATGGTGGTTCTGCTAGAGTGTTTTCACCTATGATACAGCCTACAGTTACAATTTATTGGCTGGTTCCAAGGTGTCACACAATCTTGCACCTCAAAAGCACAATCTCATGAGTCTACATATTATTATATCCATTTGTAGATGAGAAAACTGACTCAGGAAGGCTAAATCATTGGTCTAAGCTCAAACAAAGGTAAATGTAAGCTTTAGAATATTCATCAATACATTCTTTTAAATATTAGGCTACAGAAAAATAAACAAATGTACTATTATGTTTCCCTACACTTTTAGGTTCTGAGTAGCAATTTCCTCATCTGTACAATTCAAGTGCTGTCAAATATTAGCAATCTAATTGGCAGACATATAAAGAAATAAAAATGAAATAGTGTGATATGTGATGAACTCAATATAAAAGCATTTATAATGAATGATGATGACAAATATTGGTGAAGCAATGATGGACCACGTGGAAAGGCAGGAGTGGCCGTCCTTCTAAGAGAGGATATCTGAGCTGTATTTTAAAAGATTAATAGGAGTTTCTCAGGCACAAAAAGAAGACTAAGTTAAAAAATAGCATATTCAAAGACTTGATATAACACTCTGTGGGGATGGGAACCAGTGATATGTTAGAGCTAGAAATACTGTTTCATAACAAACAGCTGTTACATTTTCAGGAACTCTGCAAGCCAGTTGACTTCATATAAAGTCACTTAAAATTGCCATGGTGGGAGTACTTATACTGCAGATACCAGGAAATGCTACAAATGAAGCCCCTGACAGCTGACCCCCAAGGACTGGTGCTTAAATGTTTACAGGCATACCGCTGAGGGAAAGTAAAAGCCAATTTGACAATTGTACGTTTTTCAAGTTAGGACGTATAAAGTGCAAAGAGGAAAACAAACAGACATTAGGTATGTGGGTTCTTCAAAAGTATGTTTACAAAGTCTTCTTTTCAAGGGCTAAGAAATTTATATCTAATTGAATATTAAATAATTTTAAGTGGAAGGAAATCAGTGAGAGTCTCATGGCAAGATGATATTTCAAATATTGATTGGCAACCTTTTCCTTTAGTTATTTTCTTGGTGTTAGCCTTTCCCTTGTTCAATAAAAAAAGTAAAGGGATCCTTTACTTTTGAGAAAAAAGGATAATTTTAACAGAAATATGAAATCAAAGAGTCAATGTTCAAATACTGACTTGTAAAAACTGGGCCTAAGAAATCTTCTGGAATAATGAGCTTTTGTAACGGTTCCTCTGTGTGTGTCTAAAAAGGAGTGAAGTATTAATATGCTTCCAAGTTTCTGAGTTGGGAAAATATGCAGATAAGGGAGCCACAAACAGACAGATGGATTATAGAAGATGACGAGGAAGAAAATAAAACATATGTGACCATATTGATAAGCAAATCACAGTGAGGCTTCCATATTGATATCCTTCACGAGACCATGGGGAGTTAGTGTGTCATTCAAAAGCCACAATAATACAAGGTAAACTTTGGTCTAATATTTTATTTTTAAATCTATTTAGATCATATTATTTCCTTCCAAATGAAAAAGGCAATGTACACCTCATTACCATTAATCATTTCAATGTGACATTCTGGGGGCTTGGAGTCGAGGCACACTGAGAAGAACCTCTCTTGAAAATGTCCCACCTAAAACAAATGTACCATCAATGTGCAATGTCTTATGTTGACCAACAAGATGTTTTTAAGTTTCTGAATTTTCAAAATTGTCACTGGCTGAGTTGTATCCCATTTCCAAATGATTTGTTGAAGTACTAACCTACAGTACCTCACGTGTGTTTGTATATAGTCATTAAAGAGCTAATTAAGTTTCAAAAAGGTTACTAGAGTGGGCCCTAATTCAATATGACTGGTGTCCTATGAAGAGATGGGGACACAGACCCAGAGAGGAAAGATTATGCGAAGACAGAGAGAAGACAACCTTCTACTAACCAAGGAAAGAGGCCCAGATGAAACCAGCCCTGCTGGCACTTGATCTTGGACTTTCCAGCCTCAGAATTGTGAGAAAAGTCATTTTTATTGTTTAAGCACCCCATCTGTGGTGATTTGTTAAGGCAGCCCTAGCTAACTCATATAAAAACTTAACAAAGTTTTTCAATGTTTGTATACTTTAAAACGAGTTTCAATTTCCAAGATGGACTTTCTCCTTCCTTTTATGAAGAAGGTCCCACGCTATGCAATTCTCTATCTACAGGTAAAGTGGTTTGTTTCGTCCTGTTTACCAGCTTCCATTATCTGTTACTCATCCTCTTTGAACTGAATAATGCTATTAAACAAGTAGAATGGATAATAAGACTCCAATAGTACAGGCACTTGTATGGAGTTGCAGGGCTCTTGTGTTCTCAACTTTGGAAAAGGCTCCTAATTCTTGGAATTAGAAAGAGTATATAGAGGAGGTGAGAAGATGGTGGCCAAGTAAGTGGAAGCTGAGCCCTCTTGTTCATGCCCCCAGCGTGGATTTTCAGTTGGTCTTCCAACAAGTGACCTGAACAATCAACGGAACCTTAGCTGATATGAATTTTTGAAACCAAGGAGTACAGGGGAAGTTTTGCATCATCTGGTAAGAGATTTTATAAGTTGAATGGGAAATACTCTGAGCAAAGTGCCTGCAGCAGAGGAGAGAACACAGGGAACCCACAACCCTAACTGGGAGAGACTTGGGAGGATATACAGATTCTGTGAGACTCAGGCTGCACACAGTGAGCAGCATGTCCATAGCTGCAGCACCAACAGGGAGAGTTCAAGAGAGAAATTCTATCTCCTAAAACTGTCAGAGTTTTAGGCAACTCTGTGGCAAGCCCTGACCAAGAAAAGACATTTTGCCTTTTGGAGAAGTGGAGTGTGCAGAGAGCCAGGCAGTGGCTCAGAACTGCAGTGTGGGTGCCACATAAGGACTTTTTTAAAGAGGAGAGTGGAGGTGTGGCTAGGCAGGGACTCCACACATGCACACATCTGCCCTACCAGCAAAGAGGCCTGCTTGAAAACATGGTTTGTGTCCAGTAAATCAAGCTAGCCAGGAAGAGTAGAAGGGTGCACGGCAAAGGGATTGCAGGGTCCCACCCAGCATGGCTGGTGAGCAGGGGGCTGTATGCAGAATGGTTTGGGTCTGAGCCTCCTATGACAGCACTGAGCTAGGACAGACTGGACAGACAAGGGCAGAGTGACTGAGATTCTTTGCAGCCAAGCAGGGCCACTCACACCATGGAGAACAAATCTCTGGGAAGGGGACGGTGTGCCCATCCCCCACTTGCAAGATTTGCAAACTGCAGAATTGTAAGGCCAGGCTCAAGAACCCCCTGCTGGGCACATATCTGCAGGGGAAAGAAAGAGAATCTCCAAAGGAGCCCTTTATGAACTTTTATCAGATATTATGCTGGATCCTCCTTGGGCCCTATTCCACTAAAAACAGAAGAGCAGAGAGATTAGAAATTGGTGTAGCAAAAGGTATTCAGGGGCCTGCCCAGCCTTGGCTCCCACACAGAGCTTCCATCAGTGCCAAACAGGAAAGAGCTGACCCTTTTACACAGACTGACCCTTCACAAGAAACATACAGCTAATTCATCAGAAACTGTACATTACTAGAAATAACCTGGGATAGACCAATACACAGTGTGGGGACAGGGAAACACACCTACATTCTCGCCTGAAGACTGAACAATGTCTCCCTGGGGGTGATTCAGGGATCCACCCTCTTGATTACTCCAGGGGACACTTCTGGAAGCAGGTGGAGGTGTTACATGTGGTGCTGTCAGATCACCCCTGGACCTTATGCTGATAAAAAGCCAGCAGGGCAGAACAGAGAGAACCAGCCAGACTAGAAGGAGACAGCCACAGACTGTGAGTCACTTGTAGCCTTGAACAGGCTGCCTGAAGCTATACTGGGTGACCGTCCGACATCAGGGACAGATCCTGAAGGAGAAAACAGCAGGCCAACAAACGCTATACTTTGCTGAGATGAAATCCACCTCATTCTTTTTCATCATTTGAGCTATTTTTTTCTCCTGCATAGCTTTTTAACATTGTTTCTTTGTCTTCAATTTTGTTCCTATTATTTCGCTAATTTTAATTTTCTTTTGTAATATTTTTTATTTTTATTTTAGCTTTAATGCACGTCTCATACTTTTCTCTTATGCCATTTTGTCTTGATCCTTCTCTTCCTTATTTTTGTTTTAAATTTATTTTTTTCTCTTTCTATGCCGTGTTTCTATTCCTCACTCTTACTATTTCTCCTCCCTCCAACCTTTCAAAACCATCTTCCTTTCCATTAATCATCTTACATTCTTTTTCCCTTTCCTTATAACATCCTTATTGTCATTCCACCTTTATTAATATATGATCAGTTGTGATTGATATTGGGTTTTTGTTGCATTTCTTTGACTTTATCCCTAGTGGTTCACTATATTTTTATTTTAAATCTCATATTTTACTGTTACCCTGTCCTACTCCATTTCACCTTCCTCCTTCCCTGTCTTATTTTTATTTTAAATATTATTTTCTGCCTATCTTAGTCTTATTTCTAACTATTACACTTATTATTTCTCTCCCCTTATCCTCTCAAAATCATTTTACACTCCTTTAGCTATCTCAGTCTTTTTTTAATTTCTTTTTTATTTCTTATACTATTATTATTCTCTTTGCACCTTTATTAATCTTTGCTCATTTGTTGTGGATATCACTGCAGTGGTTGCTTTTCTTCAATTTGAAAATTGTTTTCATTATTTTT